GTGCAAATGATGGACTATAGCTTTAAAAGAGTGCACTACTGTGGTTTCATTTGACCGAAATCTTTTTTTAAAAATCGATGATCAAGACCTACACTTAATAAGGTTCTTTCCTGATTTGCTTAATTGTTATTGTACCTATTGTACCGGGTCTCATTCTTAAACCTATTATCATGTCTTTGTCTGTGTGTAATTGTTTATTAGTTTTGAAGGAGTGCTTCACCTTTTTTTCCTTTTATGTTGACATTGTTTAATGTTTACACTCAATTACATACCGTCTGTGAAGAATGTTTTGCATATACATTTAATTTTCTTTATATGAAATATCACTGAGGATGTCAATGTGAAGGTAAATGTCGAATTGAGTTGATTTGTTGTTCTGTGTACACCGGCCAACCTCTCTGGTGCAGATCAATAGGTGCTTTCACTGTAGTGATATGCATATTCATGTATCCATGTATGCGCATGCGCGCCGGGGAGTTGACCCCAGATAAGTGCTAGAATAAGGCTTCCATGCTTGCCGTGCTGTCCACACAACAAGCCTCCTTTATTTCACCTCCATTGGCTATCTCAACATGGTGGCAGCGGTGGAAAAGAACAAGATAGACATCTGTGATGATCTGACCATCGAGTGAGGCAACTTTCGGGCATCTGGACCTCCCGATTCCCGCTTATTGTGGTGTGAAAACGTGCAACCGACCCAGATTTGTCTGAGGTCATGCCGCGACATTTCACGTGCGTGTGCTATACCCACTGCACATTCAACACGTTTCACCGTACAGTGTGAGCGCCTATACCGTGCTCGCCCCATCACTGCACTGCACTCAGGAGTTCGCCATAATCGCTGTATTCCCCACGGCTCCATCGAGCTCTACCGGAGACTGGTCATCTACCGACCGGCTTTACAGCATCCAGCGGCGACGGTCCCGACTGTTTCAAGGGACAAGACGGGATGAAAAGCAGCAGAAACCTGGACCTCATCATCGGCTAATTTTGCAAATTCTGCCGTGCGTCCAGTTTGCCGACCGACACGATCACGATCAGCGCCCATCCAGTTGCACTGCATCCAATTCGTGAGAAATTCAGCTCATCGTTTTCCAGTAACTGTACCCATAGAGCAAGTACCTGGACCTGCCCGACCTGTTCACAGTACCAGTGCATCTCCAATCTGGGACCTCCAGCATCCTGCCAGGCGACTTCATCTGCCCTTCTACCTGACTACTACCCTGACTATCACGGACAGTGTACCAGGCAAGACGTACAAGAACTGTTCAGCCACTTCATCTCATCAGAACTGAGACTTTTAAAGCCTAATTGACCAGTGTTCATTGCTATTGTTTACATGTATGAGTTTGGTTATTGACAATTCAAATCAGTGTATTGTTGCTCCCATGTAATATTGTTCTTACATGTTTAGCCATCTCAGTGGTGTTTAACCCAAGTTTTAGCTCAGAAGGTTTCGCACAATTGTTGTTTATCATATTATTATATTACATTGTCATTGTGCACTCAACCATGGCTAAATATCCAGAAATGAATTGGTCAGTTAAGAATGTTGCCGAGGAGTTCAAGCTATTCAAACAGAGATTTACGTTATGCTTGAAGGATCATGAAGTAAATCAAGCCGACAAACAGGCGGTGAAAATCAAAATAGCTGTAGGCACTGAGGGCCTTAAGCGCCTCAATGCATCTGGCTTGTCCGAAGCAGATCAAGAAGAACCAGAAAAGCTATGGGCTTTATTTGAGAAGCAGTTGCAAATCAGTGTAAATTTCCGCATCCATAGGCTTGAGTTAATGAGATACAAACAAAAAGTCGATGAAACCTTAGACGATTTTGTTAACAGGTGTAGAGAAAAAGCGATGAATTATGATTTTGCGCAAGCAGAACTAGACGAACGCGTAGTAGAACTGGTCATAGCCTCGACTCCCTTAGACGCATTGCGCAATAGCCTTCTCGAGAAAGCACGTGGCTACCCAATTGCAGCGATGCTTGAAGAGGGACGCAGGCACGAAGCCGTTGCAGCGGGCAAGCAACATTTAGAAACGCTCACAGATACTGCAGCACGCAAAGCCGCGAACGAACCAGCATCTGTAGACACTGTCTATTCTGCACGCGGACGCCGCTCTTGCAAAAATTGTGGTCTTTCGCACAAGCCCCGCAGCTGTCCTGCGTATCATGACACGTGCAAAGCCTGCGGTAGCAAAGGTCACTGGGCCAAGCTTTGCAGAAAATCGAAGCGAACTGGGCAAGGCCGACAGCGCAGCAAATCGCCAAACTGGCGCCGCCAACAATCGCGTAGCAACTCAAAATCGCGTAGCAACTCAAAACCGCGCAGCTCTCGCAATAGATCGCCGAGCCGGGGTACTTCCAAGGTGAACGACCTCAAGAATGACCAACAGGGGCAACATGACTTCTTCACCGACGACGATTACGTCTCAAGCCAAGCTGGGGACACATTCAACTCTATCACCGTGTCTGATATGTGCGTCACTCCGCTACATCAGTACGGACATACCGAAGTCTTCACAACACTTGATGTTGTCTGCCCAGATCGACTTGGCAAGCACCACTTGAAGGTCAAAGTGGACACCGGTGCGAGCGCTAACACCCTACCAGTTCGCACCATGAAGCAGATATACGGAGACCGTTGGAAATCGCTCGCCTCCCCCACTGGCACAAGACTGACCGCATATAACGGGTCAAACATCACATGCTATGGCTATCTGCATCTTATGTGCAGATACAAGGAGAGTGAGTGGTCTCGCGAAAAATTCTACGTCGTAGATGTACCAGGTCCTGCTGTGGCTGGCCTACCCATGAGCCAGAAGCTCCAGCTGGTGACGATACACACCGTATCTTCTTCACCCAGCGGACTCCCAACATCACGACCTCGACCAGCCCCACCAGCCATACCACCTGTCGGATTTGTCACCCCTGTAAAAGGAGTACAAGATCTGAAGCAGGCGTACCCTACGCAATTTGACAGCCTAGGCAACTTCAAGACACGTGCCCATCTTCATCTCAAGAAAGATGCTCAACCCAGTATCGATCCACCTCGGAAATGCAGCGTGCATCTCAAGCCAAAACTCCAGGTGGAAATAGACAAGATGGAGCACGATGGCGTCATCCGCAGAGTCACTCACCACACTGATTGGTGTAGCTCCCTCACGACAAGTGTCAAGAAAGACGGTTCGCTCCGACTTTGCCTAGATCCAAAACGCCTTAACGACAACTTGAAGCGATGTCCTCACAAGGTTCCAACGCTTGAGGAGTTAAATCCTGCGTTTTCGCAAGCGAAGTTCTTTTCCAAACTTGATGCGAAGGCGGGTTACTGGTCGATCCACTTAGATGATGCATCCCAGGAATTGACAACGTTTCGGACACCATTTGGCCGATATTGTTTTCGCCGACTCCCGTTTGGTTTGTCAGTGAGCCAGGACATTTTTCAACAATGTATGGACGACATTGTCAGCCAGGTACCAGGCTGCGTGTGTATTGCAGATGACATTGCTGTATTTGGGCGTACAGAGAGTGAGCATGATGCCAACCTCTTCAACCTCATGGAGACCGCCAAGCGAGAAGGGCTTGTCTTCAACAGTGCCAAGTGTCGTATCAAGTCGAACCAGATAAAATTCTTCGGTTCCATCTACTCGGACAGTGGAGTTCGCCCTGATCCTGACAGAGTTGCAGACATACATGCGATGCCGACTCCCCAAGACAAAGAGGATCTTCAGAGATTCCTCGGTATCGTCAACTTTGTGTCTCCACACATTCCAAACTGCGCAGACACGGCTGCCCCCTTGCGGGACCTCCTCCGGAAGGATGTTCCATTCCTCTGGCAGGACGATCATCAGGCATCGTTTCGTGCACTCCAGCACTCCATCACTGCCGAGTCATGTCTGCGGTATTATGATCCCAAGATGGAAACCACCCTCGAGGTTGACGCTTCACAAAAAGGCCTTGGTGCGTGCCTCATCCAAGACGGCAAACCTGTTGCGTATGCATCGAAAAGTCTGTCGTCATCCCAGTCAAACTACTCCAACATTGAACGGGAAACTCTTGCCCTGGTGTTTGGTGTGACCAAGTTCCACACTAACCTTTTCGGTTCCAGATTCCATGTACTAACAGACCACAAACCACTAGTGACCATATGGAACAAGCCCCTCACCAGTGCTCCACGCCGTCTACAGAGGCTGTTGATCAAGATTCAAGGCTATCAATTCAGTTTGGAGTACAAACCAGGCAGCACCATGATAATTGCTGATGCCCTGAGCAGGCTCCCCAATCCGTCTGATCATGATGACATACCCCTCGACATTGCAGTTGATTCCCTTAGTGCGAGGCAGCACACAACCACTCAACAACTTGATTTGGTTCACTTTGGGAAGGCTAAGCAAGATGCTCTTCAGCATGAGACAACTCGAGACCCTGTTCTAAGAGAGCTACAGAAGGTCATCTACACCGGTTGGCCTGACTCAATCAAGGATTTTCCTCGTGACTTACGTCCATACTGGTCATTCAGAGATGAGCTGGGACTGTCCTGCGGTGTGATATTCAAGGGCCGTCAAGTTCTGATTCCTGAGGCTATGCGACAGGACATACTCACCCAACTCCACGCTGGTCATCTTGGCATCGAAAAGACAAGACGATTAGCCCGTAATTCTGTGTACTGGCCGAACATCAATGACAACATCACTCAACTCGTCAAGTCATGTCAAGCATGCCAGGAACACCAGACTCGTCAAAGAAATGAACCACTCCACCTCACGAGATACCCAACACACCTTGGACGAAACTGGGCACAGACCTCTTCGAGTTGGGAAAAGACAACTATCTCCTCATTGTGGACTATCACTCTAAATACCCTGTTATCCACAAACTGTCCAACACATCCAGTGCGTCGGTGGCTCAACGAACAGCAGCAACCTTCAGCCTTTTCGGTGTACCAAAGGAGATAGTTTCCGACAACGGACCACAATTTGTTGGGCAGGCTTACCAAGATATGTGTGAGGAATGGTCGGTCACCCATGTTACCTCATCACCGAGGTACCCCCGATCGAATGGGATGGCAGAGCGAACGGTCAGGACAGTCAAGTCCGTGATGAAGAAGTGTCATGAAACTGGACTGGACATCAACAAGGCAATGCTTCTTCTCCGAGCAACACCAATCGACGCTCACTTACCTTCTCCACCAGAAATACTGTTTGGAAGGCCGCCCCACACCACACTGCCCAGCAGGGACCCTACAGGGACTTACCAGAAACCTCTGGAAGTCAATGACCGACTGGCATCACGCAGAGATGAAATGAAGGCCAATCATGACAAACATGCTGGCCCAGACTTACCTTCACTCTACGTGGGACAGAAAGTCCGTATTCTTGACCAGCCGAACAAGTCTTGGACTCCGGGTGAAGTAACCAAAGTTTGCAAAGAGCCTAGGTCGTATGAGGTCAGAACACCAAATGGATCTACTCACAGGCGCAATCGATCACATTTGCGTGAAATGCAACCTCAGCCGCGCGAGGCGCACAGGCAGGCAAAGCAAGCTAAGCGCGTTCATTTTGATGAACAATCCCCGCGAGTTCTATTCCCACCGAGACAAGGTTCTGACCAGAACAAGCAAAACAGAGAAGCACAGCGGGATGGAAAACCCACTGACGGGGAAAACTCTCGCCAAACCAAAGCTAAACCTAAGGCTACGGGTACCTTTCTCCAAACCCCACAGACTACAAGATCTGGTCGTGTAACCAAAATACCAGCCAGATACCTCTAAAACCAAGTTCTTAGTTACTCCAGTGTTGAAAGTTACAGACTCGAACAAGGGTTTCATAGAGTTAGTGTTTTAAACAAGTGTTTCAAGTGTTTTGTTGTTTACAAAAAAGAAAGAAGAAAAAAAGAAGTTTATAGTTTTCTTGTTGTCTAAGTGGACAGTCACAATACAATTTAAAATAGATATGTTTTGACTACTAGAAATAAGGAAACCACGTTTGAACATTATACATCTCCGCATTCTTTATGCCAGCATATATCTACCTTACCAGGAGATAGTCGACTGTGAA